AATTAATAACCTGAAAATCTTAACTACGAGTTAGGAAATGGGGACTGTATAATACCACCTATCCTGTCGACTTTCAAACCATCACCATAGTCAAATAAGAAACTAATGAAATTTCTTTGCAAATTACAAAGCACAATACAAATGTAAAATCATCTTATTCAGGGCAGGATGACTCCTCCAGTGATTTTTAAGCAAGATCTATCCTAGAGTTTTTCTGATCCCTCAAAAGAAATAACTTTGACCAACAGTAAAAGTAGATTCTCAAGAAGTGAATCTCCAAGAACTGATTAAAATGTTCTCTATGCAGCTTCTAAAATTGATGAAAATATCAAATGTTTGTTTAATCAATTATGAAATAAGCATGGTGCAAACAGGAGGACAGATATAATTATTTACTTTCATTAATGTTTTCCAAAAACCAAGTTTAAAACTACAATTCTTAGAAATACTCTTTGATGTGGCTTGAAAATAATATTCTCACCTGCAGAGTACCTGTGCAACTCTTAGACAAGCAATAATTATCTTAAAGGTTCAGTATCTAGAAACTTAAGAACTGGTATAAATGTTAGCAATCTGTAATCAATGAGTTAATCTTTGTAAGATCTCAAGGATCTAGAATCCCTAAATTTGACTTTTCAAATGTTATAATACCAAAAAGATGCTTAAATGAAGATACCCAAGGTCTTTCAAATATAAATTTATTTAAATAATGTTGCACAATGATAATTCAGAGGTAGCTGACCAAATCACATTTTCATCTGGAAGTTTATTTTCCAGTGATTACATGTAGAATTGGAAGAAACACTCTGAACATAAAAGCCTAAGACCTTCTTCCACACTTGTGCTTCCTAGAGCCAGATCTTTGAAATTTAGAAATCTGTTTCAGTGCTCCTGATTCAAAAATCAGCAAGAGAACAATTCCCAGACAGAAAGAGCAATCACAGTTAAGTAAATAATCTCATTCAGTGAGGCTATTTAAGCCAAAAAAGAAGTTATTAGGTACTGTATTATCTACCACTTTAACAGACTGTATCAACTCTGAAAACCAAAGAGCTTTCAGATAAAGAATATTTCTTTTGATCCTCTACCCCTAATCTCTCAGAAGGCATGTCTAATAAAATGATCCACAGATAGAATCTTGCCAGAGAAAAAGATATTCTCTGGGCCCTTTCTCACAGTGAAGTTCTCCATTTGGAAAAATAAATATATAAAGCACATTGTGGAAGCTAGAGAAGAGGGATGGCATCTACAGAGGCAACAAGCTAATGCTCAGAATATCCACAAATCTGTTTCCCTGATCTGTTGCCTAATTTACTGTACATCACATCTAAGACTAAGACTCTACACTTTACTTTTGCAAACATTTACAAGTTATCAGATCATATATGTGATAACTTTGCATGCAAGACAGACAAATTATAAACTGAACACTAAGACAGAAGGCTATTGATCACATGATCATTGTTAGCTTAAAGGAAAAGTTTCAAATGGAATAACACAATTACGTCCTCCTGGCTCTAGGCAAAGAATGATGCCATGCTCAGTATTTTCTACTAACAACTTACTTTTAAAACTGGCTATCAGGAAGTATTCATTCCCTACTGTTAGGAATATTCACATTTAGGCTGGGCAATGCTAAATCTCAGTTTCAAAAAGTAATTAACTGGAGAACATTTCTAGCATAGGAAGAATAAGGAAGAGAAATGACATTTGACAAGGTATGTACGCATGTGTGTACAGGAGGATAATAAACCATCTCCTTCAAGTACCTTTTTTTAAAATCCAAGTGCTTTTTAACATCATTTTAAACTACCAGAAATTTACTTGAGACTTGAAAGCACTAGACAGGTGTCATGATGCCATTTTTAGTAATGGCAACTTGGGTAAAAAGAACCAACATTATATCCAACCATCTCTTGGCTCTAGACAAAAAGCACAGGAATGGAGGTATGGCGGAGGAAAGAGAGACTTTACTGAAAGAGATTATATCTGACATGATCAAAACACCCTCTCCCAATTTTCCTTAAATTAGCTGTAACTGAGACGCTAATCATGATACTCCATCTCACTTCTGTTTTGCTTCCTCTGGAAAAAAGAAAAAAGATAAAGTTTCAAAAGTGCTATCCTGGCTGGGTGCGGTGGCTCATGCCTGTAATCCCAGCACTTTGGGAGCCCAAGGCAAGCAGATCGCTTGAGCCTAGGAGTTCAAGATTAGCTGGACAACATGGTGTACCTGTCTCAACTAAAATGACAAAAAATTAAACAGGCATGGTGACATGCACCTGTAGTCCCAGCTACTCAGGAGGCTGAGGTAGGAGGTTCACCGAAGCCTGGGAAATCAATTCCGTGGTGAGCCGTGACTGTGCCACTGCACTCCAACCTGGGTGATATAGTAAGACCCTGTCTCCAAAAACAAAACGTGCTATCCTTCAAAAGATCAGGAGCAAGGCAAAAGAGCAAGAATCAGTAATTTTTTTTTTTTTTTTTTTTTTTGGCCTAAAGTCACCCAATGAGGCATTAATTTGAGAACACTGTCCTAACAAAGAAACTAGCATCCAAACTCCAAAGGACTCTCTGTATCTTAAGGAAGCCACAAAAAATAAACATATAAAAAGCACACTATTTCCTGGAATAGGTGGTTGTCTTGCAAAAAATAAAAATAAAATTTAAAAAAAAGCACACTATATAAAATGTATAAAAGCATCCATTAATCTATATTGTTCTCATCCTGAAAGGGTTATGAATGTGGAATATCAATGTTATGGACATATCTTTAGATAACTGTTTTATCTGAACATCATCTTTCAGAATTATTACCAGGCAATCTCTTACAAAAAGTAATACTGTAGTGAATTACTAGAAAAAAATTTTCCACAATCAACAACCAGTCAAGACCAAAACAATAAAAAGCAAAAAACAGAACAAATATAGTATAATTTTATAGAAATTCACATTTCTTTAGTTTTTGGTATTTTCCTAAGACACATGCTCTCCTTCCTTTCACCAGCCGATAAACAGCTCTAGTTTTAAAAATTGATACTAGGCCAAGTGCAGTGACTCATGTTTGTACTCAATACTTTGGGAGGCTGAGGTGGGAGGATCAATTGAGCCCAGGAGATTGAGACCAGCCTGGGCACCATGGCAAAACCCTGTGTCTACAAAATACAAAACAAAATTAGCCAGCCATGGTGGCATATGCCTGTAGTCCCAGCTACTTGGGAAGCTGAGATGGGAGGATTACTTGAGCTCAGGGAAGTCAAGGTTGCAGTGAGTCATGACTACACCAATGTACTCCAGCCTGGACAACAGAGCAAGATGCTATCTTTAAAACAAAACAAAACAAAAAACTGACAGTATATATGAACAGTAGAACCCTACTTATTTCTAACAGAAAAAAACTTCATTTATGAGTTAATTTGCTATCTAAAATTGGACTTCAAATATTCCAAATACACTAGACTCCTAACATTTTCACAAAATTGTAAAATGCTCAGATGATCTGACCTATCAGTTACAATATTAAAACAGTATTTCAAAAGAGAGCAGAAGAAAATTTTTCGGAAAAGAGGCCTATGCTGAAAGACCACTGTATTACAATATACAAATCTAAACCGTCGATAACACATGGCAAAAATAATATTATGTCCCACAACCAGGATTTGATACTTCGATCTGACACATACCATGGTCTGGCAATTGTCACAACAAAACCATCAGAAATGTTCCTCTAATCAAAGTATTTATATACAGTTTATATAATCTGATTGTGATGTTAATTCAAAAGCCTATCCTGTAGGAGTAAAGGTGATTAACTTATTATATGTCTGTCTTTTATTGTTGCTAATCATGATATTTATCATGAGCACTGTGGGTTATAGTTCCTTTAGGATTATCTAGACACAGTAAACTCCAAATCTTTGTGTTATGGCCCCAAATACTTTATAGGAAATCTAAGCAATATTGTGAAAAATTTGGATACAGAATTCTTTATTCACAACAGTGACTTAGCAAAAGTTTAGAGCTGGTAATTTTTTTTTTTTTTTTTGAGACGGAGGCTTGCTCTGTCACCAGGCTGGAGTGCAGTGGCGCAATATCGGCTCACTGCAACCTCCACCTCATGGGTTCAAGTGATTCTTCCGCCTCAGCCTCCTGAGTAGCTGGGACCACAGGTGCGTGCCACCATGCCCAACTAATTTTTGTATTTTTAGTAGAGACGGGTTTTCACCATGTTGGCCAGGATGGTCTCGATCTCTTGACCTCATGATCCAACTGCCTTGGCCTCCCAAAGTGCAGGGATTACAGGCATGAGCCACAGTGCCTGGCCAGAGCTGGTAATATTTTAAGATACAGTCTTCCTTTATATCTAGTATCAGGAAAAGCTATGTCAAATGTTTTATGTAAACTATCCAGTAGACGCCTGCTAATATGCTAATTACAATATACTGTTAATACTAATATCAACTTCTCTAAGTCAGAAAAGTCAAAGATAATGCATAAAGCAAATTTTTTAATAAAAAATTTTAATTGAGAATTAAATGTTAGTAACTAAGATAAAAGCAGATGTCAAGCCTGCCAGACTTCACATATCTGGATGATGTCTAAGCACTCGTTAATTGTTCTACGCTCTCTAGAACTATAAATCAAAGCATACTGTGGTAACTCAAGATGTTTCCATTTTATAAATCAACTAAAAATGATATAAAACATATTAAAAAACAAAAACACTACCATCCATGTCTTTTCTAATTGAGACATGAAAGATCAGAACTGTAAAGACCATGTTATCATAGAACACATGTGTAAAGTTGAATTTAAGTCTTTTTTTGGAGTTTTTCTTTTTTAAGAGTTGAAAAAAATCATCATGTTAAACCTAAAATTATAGTGAAAACATTAATTTTAGCTGTAATAAAAACATTATGAATAGATATTTATGAATAGATACTGGAAAACGTGGGGCTAATAAACAAAGCAGAATTCATGGTTACCATATTTACACATACTCTTTGTTGTGTTTCAGTGCCACATGATCTGATTCAAAGTAATAAACATCAGGATCATCATCTTCCTCTTCTGTAATGTGCTGACTGGCACTCTCTTTGGCAGATGGCAAATGTCCAATATTGAGTCTTGCCTCAGAGGGTGGTTTACTTAGTCCTTCACTTCCATAATTTTGAGAGTCACAACATATCCCTTTTTCATTTTGAGAAATTTCACCAGGATTTGTGGGAGATTGACTTACATTATCACTAAGAGTTGCATGTGTTTCATTGGGACTAAGATTATTCTCCTCAAATTGTCCGTTTTCTCTGTAAGGAGAACTGTTTTTAGTGGGACTACCTCTGGTAGGGGCTGCCCTTCGTGGTGAGGTTCTCAGAGTATAACGATGTTCTTGAGGTTCTGATAAAGACATCATTTGAGCTGAAACACAGTCTAGAACAGAAGATGGTTCAGGTTCTCTGGAGGCTGGCATACTCTCAAGACTTGGGTCCAGGTCGCTATTGTTTCCTTTACACTGCTCTTTTGAGGCACCACTATCTCCCACCACATCTACTTCCTCCTCAGAATCCCTTAAAGATGACTGAGTTTCAGAAAAGGGCCCTGTAGCTGGCTCAGTAGTCAGCTGATTAACATGTTCCACAGGCAGGCAGGCAGTTACTATTTTGTGGTCCAACTTGACCTGCACTTGTGAATTTGTGCAAGGCACGTTATGGTCTATATAACTGTCCTCCTTCCTACTATCAAGGAACACTGAAGTTTGGGTATCCGAATCCCCATTTTCAGCTACTGATTTTTCCTGTAACACATAGGAACCAATGCTATTTTGTTTAGTGTTCCCGTCAGGCTGACAGTCATCACAGTTTATAACAGCTGAATCACTGTCATCAACACCATTGACAGCCAAATAGCCTGTGATTTCTTCAACTACTGCAGAATTAAGTGGCCCTTCCTCACTGACATTCACCTTTTTAATTTCCCTTTTCTCACAATCATCCAGTATAAGACATCGACAAGCTCGTTTAGTCTCTTGAAAATCTGCATCATTGTCCACTACTGTACTCCTCTGTTCTACTGACTCTTTGTCTGATTTTATAGGTGAATCTTCTTCTGAACTGTTTGGTGCTTCAGATCTAAGACAACGCTTAATTCTTTTTAAAACTGGTGAAACAGGTTCTGTTTGCCTTCTCTCACAATTTTCTATAGCCTGCCTTTCTATGTTATCCTTTTCTGAAGAAGAAAGTCCTCTTTTCCTAGGGCTTACCCATGATTCTCGGGTATTCTGCTGTTTTAAATCAGTGGTTCTCCCATTATTATTTCCTTTCTGTATTGGCACAGGCTCTGGTCTCTTCTTTGGTGATCTTGATCGCACTTGAGAATGAGAAGAGATTTCTTCAGGATGTGCAATGCTACGATTCCTTAAAGTTCTACCACAAAAAGATTCATCCAAGCCGTTTAACCCCACTGTTGATCTTGTAACACGAGTAGATCGGGAAGCAGCCATACTATGGCAAGTCCCTACAATACGGTCATCATGATCCACTCATTGGGAAACCTTCAAAAATGTAAACAAAATAATGAGAAAAAGGTAATAGTTAATATATCTAAAACAAAAGTATAAAGCTATAACTTTTTAATCCAAGTATACTTGGATGTTATGGTCTACATAACTGTCTTTATAACTGCCAATATTAAATTATGTGATAAAAATTCTTTTATTAACATTTCCAATAATTACATAAATTACAACTAATAAGTAAATATACAGCACTTAATATGTTCCATGAGTCTTTCTATATGCCTTACATACATTAACTCACTTAAGTCTCACAACAACTCAGATAGGTGCTACTATCATCCCTACTTCACGAATAAGATTAAGGCACACAGGCCGAGTGCGGTGGCTCAAGCCTATAATCCCAGCACTTTGGGAGGCCGAGGCGGGTGGGTCACGAGGTCAAGAGATCGAGACCATCTTGGTCAAAAGGTGAAACCCCGTCTCTACTAAAAATACAAAAATTAGCTGGGCATGGTGGCATGCACCTACAGTCCCAGCTACTCGGGAGGCTGAGGCAGGAGAATTGCTTGAACCCAGGAGGAGGAGGTTGCGGTGAAATCACGCCATTGCACTCCAGCTTGGGTAACACGAGCGAAACTCCATCTCAAAAAAAAAAAAAGAAGATTAAGGCACATTCTCATGAATCGATCCAAAGTCACAAATCTACTAAGTGTCAGGGCAGGGCTCTACAGACCATACCTGCCTCACTGTGTATCTGCCTCTCAGATAGGCACAAGTACCTAGAAAAGATCCATCCCAAAGATGTGATTTCATTTTGGTTATTAAAATAATAATCTTGAACTTACATAGCAGCTATCTTACAAAAACTATTCCAATCATTTCTCATGTTCTTTCAAAATGTTCCTGGTATATAGAAAGGCAGGCCCTCCTCTTTTTAATCTACTTTTACCAAAATAAGTTTCAGATCAAATCCCTTGATAACTAATGGTCTGGCATCCAAAAAATTTTGATTACAGTATAATTTTTCATAATAAAATAGATAGATAAAAATCACAATGCTAGCGTACAATGGCTAAGAACAAAACAAAGCAAACCCAAGCCTTCCTAGTCTCTAGAAATAAAGCCTTAAATTAGCAACTGAAAGGAAGTGTTCCAAAGACCAGAAAAGAAAATGGGAAAGAAGCCTCTGAAGCAAATACTTATATTTAAGAACTCGAGTACTCATACAATCTCACCCTTTCCTTCTCTAACTCCTGTGTATAGCGTTTGCCAGTGCCTGTTTTAATGTGTGGTTTGGGAGATGAGCAGGTTTTCTAGTGTGGATGCTTGAGGTTTACATGACAGAAATGTAAATGATATAGAAAAATGCCTTGATTGATCCATTTGGGTAAACTAGTGACTTGGTGATATTTTCCAGAGGCTCTCCCATCAAGCAGAATAAAGGAGCTATTAACATTTTAAGTCTCTATTCCCCTGCTCCTCTTCTGTTTTGTTTTCACAAGATACTCTGTCATTTTATTGCCTAACTTCGAATGAGATGCAGGATGATTAGTTAGACAAAGAGGCCAGCGGTGGCTACAGTGCAAAGTTTCACAGTCCCTTCCTCCTACCTTTGGATATCAACAGTCTCCCTTCCCATATAAACTTCCAAATGCCAATCTGACCCCTCCCCTAAAAATCAAACACAATCCCTCCTTTGCTTCAATCAGAAGTATTTAATAGTGGAAAGGGTGGAAGAATTACAGAAGACACAGCAACATGCTACCACATATAAAAAAGAAACACTAAAAGAAATTATCTCCCTGTTCCTGCCTGATGACAAGCAAATTAAGTGAGAAAGTGCCCTGTAAAATGTTTAAGTTGGCTGACTTTAGTGTTGTCTTAGAGTATGGCATACTTTTAAATTTTTAATTAACAATTTTTCAAAATCTTTTAAGAATCACAAAACTAGCCCTGGAATTAAAGCATGGTTATTTACTCTAGAGAATTTCATAGCAATCAAGTGAACAGTAAATATGAGACTCCAATCAGAACTTAGAAACACATTTCTTACAGTAGTAAACTTTTATTGTTTTTGGGATTCATTAAAAGAACCACTGACATTTAATTCTCATTTGCTAATATATTATCATTAAGGTTACAATCTTTCTGCTTTTTTCATGGGTAACAAACACTAAGTGTCCCACAGTTTTCCACTTTTAATTATAAAACATTTAAGTTAAACTTCAAATGATGTTTTAAAAGAACACAAACTGGCCGGGGGCAGTGGCTCCCGCCTGTAATCAAAACATTTTAGGAGGCCAAGACGGACAGATCACTTGAGGTCAGGAGTTCATGACCAGCCTGGCCAACGTGGGGAAAAAAACCCCGTCTCTACTAAAAATACAAAAACTAGCCAGGCATGGCGCCACATGCCTGTAATCCCAGCTACTTAGGAGGCTGAGGCAGGGGAATCACTTGAACCCAGGAGGTGGAGGTTGCAGTCAGCCAAGATCACATGACTGCACTACAGCCTGGGTGACAGAGCGAGACTCCATCTCAACAAAATGAAAATAAAAGAACACAAACTGCAGTATATGAAAAGCAACTTATTTGTTTCATGTATCCAAATCTGGCACTCTAAAATGTGAAGATTACTGATTTTTAGATATTAAATATGTATGTAAATGCACAAAAAGCTAAGAGTAAATTAATTTTATGAACTGCCTATAAAATCTAACACCAATTATGTTTAATGCAAATTTAATTATATTCATAATTTATGGTTCAAAAATAATACTGGCAATAGTAGTATTTTATAAACACACAAAAGAATCTGTTAATCTTTACTTTTTAAAATGCAATCCCAATTAAGGGCATATAAACCTCTTAAATGATTCCAAATAAGACTTCCTTGACCTTTTCTTTCCACACAAATCTGAATGGCAGCAAAATCTCTGCCTCGAAGTACAAACTTCTCAAAGAGAGACTATTTTGGATGAAGTGAACATATTATTAGTAGTACTAAGAACGTGTTTCTTATACATATATTTTTTTACCAAAAAATATCACGTATAAGCTGGGCATGGTGGCTCAAGCCTGTAATCCCAGCACTTTGAGAAACCAAGGTGGGTGGATCACTTGAGCCCAGGAATTTGAGACCAACCTGGGCAACATGGCAAAACCCTGGCTCTACTAAAAATACAAAAAAATTATCCAGGTGTGGTGGCACATGCCTGTAGTCCCAGCTACTAGGGAGGCTGAGTGGGAGGATCACCTGAGCCTGGGAAGTTGAGGCTGCAGTGATGTGACTGCCTGCCCTTCAGCCTGGGTGATGGGAGTGAGGCCCTGTCTCAAAAAATTAAATAAATAAGAATAAAAATAAATCACCTATAGTGAGGACTATCTTATTTCTTCACCATTCCACTGATTAAAATATGAAAACACTGATGAATACAAAAGTTAAAGAAAATATGAAAATTCTGATTAATATAAAAGCTTAAGCTTCTTTCCATTTCTTTTGTGCCCTAAAAATGCTTTTATTTCACTCAATAACTAGAACAAAGCCCTAGTTTTAGGATTCTCAAATTCTGTGCTATTAGGTTGTATTGAAAGAGAACTTGTTTTATAACAAGGATCCCTGTGGTACTTCAGACTCTTACAACTCAATCATGGGCATCTCCTGGAAGCTTGTTAGGAATGCAGAATATGAGGCCCTGCACCAAACCTACCAGTGAATCAGGTTCCTAGGTGACTCATATATGTGTTAGGGTTTAAGAAGCACTGCCTTAGGCTACTGCACTCAGACAGAATTCTAATAAGATAATAGTCATCAAGTTTCAAACTAAATCAGATACCCTTTAATTCCTTATTGGATCCTAATAATAAAAAAATTATAAATAAGGCCAAGGAAGCACCAAATGGAAGACTATTAAAAAATCTTGCCGGCCAGGTATGGTGGCTCACATCTGTAATCCCAGCACTTTGGGAGTCCGAGGTGGGTGGATCACGAGGTCAAGAGATTGAGACCATCCTGGCCAACATGGTGAAACCCCATCTCTATTAAAAATACAAATATTAGCTGGGCGTGGTGGCGTGCGCCTGTAGTCCCAGCTACTCGGGAGGCTGAGGCAGGAGAATTGCTTGAACCTGGGAGGTGGAGGCTGCAGTGAGTCAAGATCATGCCACTGCACTCCAGCCTGGCATCTGGCGACAGAGCAAGACTCTGTCTCAAAAAAAAAAAAAAAAAAACTTGCCTAAAATTAACATGTGATGTGCACTTGAGGTAATAAACTGATTAAAACCATTAAGATTAGAGTTAAACAAAATTTTGTCAATCTTCCCTCTGATGATATTTTTTCTGTTCTAACCTTTTTCTTCGTATCTTTTCAATTTTGGATAGGTATACGTAAAAGCATATACTTTCTATAGTTACCTGATAAACTGAGTGCAAAATTCAGTTAACAAAAAGAGACCACAAATGTCTAGATTAGCCAGGGGTAGGGAAGTGGGGGCACCTACAGTCACAGCTACTCAGGAGGCTGAGACAGGAGGATCACTTGAGCCCAGGAATTTGAGAACTTCCTGAACAACTGTAAGACCCTATCTCTTAGATAAAAAATAAAAAGTCTGTATTATCTCAACCAAGTCTCAACATTGTTTTGTCATGCTTAGCAAAATATTAGACTAAAGCAGTTGTTTTCCTCATTTTAGCTGAATCACAAAAAGCTACTTAAGAATACAATAAAGAAGCTTAGAGTACAAAATTATATTTCTGTCAAATATTAAGGAATAAAAATGAACTTATTTACAAATCATCTCAGGAAATACCCCTGCTTGCTAACAAAATAGATATATGTTGAAAACCTTAGTGAGCATCCATTTGAAGTTAGAAATGCAAACATTCCAGTTTTAGAATTAAGGGGAACCATTAATTAATATGGGCAAAACCCAATCTAACTAACAACTACACTGGAGTTTTTCCTACATGTTATCTACCAACTAATGAATAGTGGTACTTTCTAGAATACAGAGAAAAGAGAATGTGATCAGTAACTAGAATTAACCAGACTCCTTCCCTCTATTCCCCACCTTCATAAATTCTCATCCTATTGGAGGCTATATATCTGAGAAGGGCTAGTCAACCAAATTTCAACTTGTCCATTCATATTAAGTTCCCAATCCTACCTGTAATTTCTCATATCCTACCCACTTATTTGCTGCTGGATTGCCTTCCCATAAATTTGAATCTACTGTTACCCAAATATAACTACATGATTCTGAAAAACACTCTCTGAAGTATTAACAGCTATGTTTCAGGTCATAAATTTCCAGCTCCTGTGATGATACCTGTAGAACTGCATCAATTAGAACTAAAAGGAGTAATAATTATTAAACAAAAAAGGCCCACCTAATGACACACTTCTCCAGCTATTTACTTAAGAGCCAAGAAATTTCAAAAAGATATTTCAAAGGCCTTGCCTATATGCTTTTGTTCCTACTATAATCACCAAAGCAGTAAAGTTGGTTTTGGGAATTGAGGAACTGGCAATCTTCCATCACACCAATGTTCTAGTTGATATTTATTATCATAATATTTAGTTTTATTCAGTGAACAATTTCTAAGAAACTGGTCATGATACTAGTATATAATCAGGTAGACAAACCAAAGGAAAAGGAAAAAAGAGCAAGAACAACTGGAAAATGTAACCAATATGACTCTTTTTCTAGTTGTCTAGAACATAAATTATTTAATAATATTGAGGCCATGTTGTCATATAATTATTTTATGACAAACTACTTCAGCTGTCCAATTAACACCATATCTACGATGTTAAAAGTAGAAGAGTAAAACCTGGGAACTCACTCATGAAATTCAACTTAAGATTCTTAAATAGTCACCTCTTTGAAGTCTGGGGACTCTATTATGTACTATCTTTTTAGACTTCTTATTTCTTTCCCATTAAGAGAAACTGATATATGATAGATGATCTGTAGGTAGGTAGGTAGCAAGTAGGTATATAGGTAAGCAGGCAGGCAGGCAGGCAAACAGACAGACAGACAAAAGTAAATGAAAATGCAGTTTAAAAGACAATCAGGAAAAGGAAAGTCAAGGAATTTCACAATGGCCTCTTGAGTAAAAAATTCCAACATAAGCAGTCACTTCATTTATACTCCTGTTGAGAAAAGAATGGAAAATATTTCATTCCTAACCCATTCCCTATAGCTCCATACTCCTATAAACAGCTGGCCAAACTACAATCTGCCACACAGAAGATGTAGGGACAAATAACAGTGTCCACAACTAAAAAAAACCAAAAATGTCAAACTACAGTTGTCTTCACTACTGCAAAACTAAGCAACTTACCTGTACAACCAAAGATCTATCATTGTGGAAATATAATCTCTTTTCCTTATTTCCTGAAGGAGTTGGAGCTATGATCTAGAATGGAGCTTAAGCATCAGGGTTTCAGACTCACTCAGCTTCAGCCATGGAGAATACTAGAACCTCCTAAATTTGTTTCTTTAAAATAAAATAATAAAAAAAAGAATTAAAGAAGAAAATGAACTTATTACTAATAGATTTACTCCTTCTATAATAAGAAGAAATACAGGTACAGAATCTGTTCATAGTGACATCTTTAGTGCTTCTTGGTAACTTAGTATCAAGGACACTAAGAAACTGATACAGGATTTTTAGAAATCAACAAAAGCAAACCAAAAAGATTCTGAAATATACCAAATCCTTACAACTCAATATTAGTTTGAACCAAGCCCAAATGTGACTCAGTTCTATTCTAGACACTGCTCTAAGGCAGTATTTTTTTGAGGTGATCTAAAGATTGCCCTTGATAACATTTCTCGTAAGAGAATTTATAATATCATCTCTTACTCTTGTCCTAGATGACTTTCCAAATTGTCAGCTTCAAGTATACACAGCCATTTAGGTTATGCATAAAAGAATCACACAAATAATCAACCAAATCTTACCTATAGGATAACCTTGATGCTTATTAAAGTGCTACAAAATTCAACTACAAAAGGACATTTTTATTATTTTTAGTGTGTGTGTGGTTTTTTTTCTTCTGTTGAGACAGAGTCTCACTCTGTTGCCCAGGCTGTAGTGCAGTGGTGTGATCTCAGCTCACTGCATCCTCTGCCTCCTGGGTTCAAGCAATTCTCCTGCCTCAGCCTCCTGAGTAGCTGGGATTACAGGCACATGCCACCACGCCTGGCTACTTTTTGGACTTTCAGTAGAGACCAGGTTTCACCGTGTTAGCCAGGAAAGTCTCAATCTCCTGATCTCGTGATCTGCCTGCCTCGGCCTCAAAAAGTGCTGGGATTACAGGCGTGAGCCACCACACCCGGCCTACATTTTTAACAAGATCAAAACAACAAGGATTTTCCGGTTTTTGTACCCAGTTAGGCAGATAATTCAATTAATCTAATTACATTAGAACAGTTTGGCTAATTAAATTTTTACTTTATAATAATTACAATATCCTTTTCAAAGAATGTACAGGCTGTGCGCAGTGGCTCACACCTGTAATCCCAGCACTTTGGGAGGCCAAGGCAGACCTCCCGAACTCCTGAGGTCAGGAGTTCTAGACCAGCCTGGCCAACATGGTAAAACTCCATCTCTACTAAAAATACAAAAATTAGCCAGGCATGGTGGCATGTGCCTGTAATCCTAGCTACTCTGGAGGCTGAGACGTGAGAATCACTTGAATCTGGGAGGCAGAGGTTGCAGTGAGCCAAGATTGCACCACTGTACTCCAGCCTGGGAAACAAGAGCGAAACTCAGTCTCAAGCAAAAAAAAAGAATGTACAATCTGGCTAAATGGGTTACTATTAAGTGCCCATCTGGAAATAAGGAAAAGGACTAAGAAAAGGACTAGCAGATGTTTATGATGGAAACTGTCACTTTATTATAAGCATAAAACTAGATATTATAATAGTGATACTATTCTGGGGGAAGCATTACAACTTAAAGACTGATATAATTACAAAACCTTGTAACTACAAGGCAGACTAATTGTCTAGTAAAAATAGGTTACTGCTCTAGGCAGCTAGAAAGAGAAAAGGGCTAATAATATCTAATATCTATAGATGCAACCTCTCCCAAACATGCCCTGGAAATGCTTTAAAAAGTACAAGGTAGGAAAATTGTCTAATAATCATTTAATACTACAGTACATTAAGAAATGTTCTTAAGTTAACATGGGGAGAAGCTCAGCGAAAACATGATCCTACAAAAAGTAACCCTTGACTTGAAAATCTACTCTTTTAATAACAGACTCCAACTGACAACTCCTTTGTACCAAACTCTGAAGCCTTTCACAAACATGACAAAACATTATGTTCTACAGTGTGTGATGGTAGTAGCAATCATCAAAAGCAAAGAGCATCTACAACTTAACGTGTATCTCTGAATATACTGGAATGTGGCCATTCCAGCGCTCTATCAAGTTCTAATCAACCACATTTGAATAGAGTTCACTATAGAAATATTATCTACTATGATATCTAGCAGGCAAGAACACCTGCAACTGTTATCTTCATAGAACTGATACTTACAGCTGAGCTCTATCAGCATTAAGATAGACAGGATCCTGCAGAGTGTTTCTTAAAGCCTGATACACTGAAAAAGAAACTTCAGTCAATTACTTCTAACTAAACCTCAATGGCCTTAATTAAGATTACATTATTTTCTTACCTTTTAAAAAGTGTTTCACCTAGTATTTGATCCCCATGCGTCTGTATTTATCTGTCATCACTGTTAATTGTCCATGTTACTTTGAGACTTCAGGTATTATTTATTTATATGGTTGTACTAGAACAACTTGGTATCTGTGAAGGGAAACCATAATATAGTCACTATGGATGTGTTACTGTTTACAAATTTGTGAATAAAAGTGGTAATATTTCCAAACACTTATATAGCATACTTCATTTTCTATTAAACTTCATAAATAATTCCTTACATTTAGCTGCGAAATATGTGTCTTCAACAAACTAAGATGATTGGCTAACACTTGCAAATTCTTTTTAGAGAGTACCCACATACAAGTTTTCCAAACTTAATTCTAAACTTAAATCCTTACAAACTGAAGAGTTCCTCAGGTTCCTTTTCTTACTATCAGAGAGAGAGAGAGAGAGAGAGAGAGAGAGAGAGAGAGAGAGAGAGAGATTGTGTGTGTGTGTGTGTATGTCATTTCCCACAAGTCTAAATAGAAAAGTACTTTTTTGTGTTTTTTATATTTTAGGGAATAAATCTATAATGCTTAAAAATGAAGTAAAAAAAGATAATAACTGCCCTTTAAGTGTCACTTTAAACATCTGATATCTTCTCAAGTAATTTCGGAAGTAAATAGAAAATAAATGTTATTTAAAATAAACTGAGATGTAGCTGTACAAACATTCCTTAAAGGTAAGCTTCATAAAAACAGACTTGGTTGAAGATTACAAGTCTGAGAAATATATCCACGCACACCTACAATGATGACCAAAAGCACTGTGCAGAATTTTAAGTCACTTTAACTAGTTTATCAGTGGAAAAAAATGAGCTATAAAAGAATATTCATTCATACATAAAAAAGAAAGCAGCCTATGAATAGCATTCTAAAATGTTTCACCATGCTGTACCGCTCCACTACACAGTAAAAAGCGTACAAATCTACATGGAAAATACAGATAACCTTGCAGGGCATGGTAGCTCATGCTGTAATCCCAGCACTGTGGGATGTCAAGGCAGGAAGATCCCTTGAGCCCAAGCATTCAAGGCCGGCCTGGGCAACACAGTGAGCCCTCTTCTCTACAAAAAAAATGAACAACATTAGCCAGCTGTGGTTTTACGTGCCTGTAGTCCCAGCTACTTGAAAGGGTGAGGTGAAAGGATCACCTGAGCCCAGGAGATTGAGGCTGCAGTGAGTTGTGACTTGTACCACTGAACTACAGCCTAGGCAACAGAATAAACTCTATCTTAAAAAAAAAAAAAAAAATCTTTTTTAATGAAAATGCATGCATATGCACTTTCTTACACATGCTTTCGGGATAAAACTTGTTATTAGGGTTGTCGACCATTCAGATATTCTCAGTGAGACATTTCATTAACAAAAGAGTGATTAAGAAACTATTATCTATCCTCAAACACAACAATTTTTTATTCATTTGTTTTCAAACATTAAAAGTAACACCATAAAAAAATTAACACTTTGGGATGCCAAAGCAGAAGGATGGCTTGAGCCCAGGAGTTTGAAACCATCTTGGGCAACAAAGTAAGACCTCATCTCTACAAAAAATAGAAAAAGGTAGACACATGTGGCATGTGGTGGTGTGAGCCTGTAATCCCAGCTGCTAGGGAGGATCCACAGAGCTGCAATGAGACGTGATTGCACCACTGTATTCCAGCCTAGGTGACAAAGCAAGACCTTGTCAAAGCAAAAACCAAACTAAAAAAAAAAAAAAAAAGATCTAAATATTTTCTAAGTTTAAAGATTGTCATGACCTCTCTTGTAACAGAAGCAGGGAAATTAAACGAGCCACAAGTCTTATAGCCCCTATATTGTGTTCTTCACTTCACTCACTATACATTTCAAACTGAAGCATTCTGCAAAACTGCTATATGCTTTCTGGAAAAACTACTTGGAATTATAACAACACACAGTAATTTTTTTCATTTGAATTATTTAACTACAGTAACTTACTTCCAGAAGTTTAAAAAACAGCATTTTGTCTTTTTAAAAGTACACCAAATGGAAAACAAACTATATAAGTCGTATTCCTAAGGCCATCTTATCTATTTCTTGAAACAGAGCTTTGCTTGTTTTCATGTATTAATAAAATTCATTGACTACTGAAGCATTCCAAAAGCAAACCCAGAACCAATCTTCACTGAAAAGAATTACTTTTCCTACTTCTTGCAGTCTTAACACTAGTACTACTGTGTTAAATAGATTACATGATCTCAGATTCACAGCACACAGGTAATCACTTCAAAAGACTACAGTAAATCTCACTAGAAGATTCTGACAGCTCTAGTGATATAACCAGGATATAAGCCACACAACTTACTATTAAAATAAAATAATGAAGTTCAAGCTAAGCACAATCTCTAAATTTTCAGCCACGGCAAATTTTTTTTTAGTTTTATAAGAGCTTGGAAAAAATTCAAAAGGAAGGTCATACAACAGAGTCATATTTCTTACTTGATTCTTCAGTTATAAGTGAAAGTACCACATACCGATACTATACTATGATTTTAAATGATTTCATAAGAGACATTTGCCAGGCGCAGTGGCTCATGCCTGTTTCTCGGCACTCTGGGAGGCCGAGGCGGGTGGATTGCCTGAGGTCACGAGTTCGAGACCAGCCTGACCAACATGGTGAAACGCCGTCTCTACTAAACATACAAAAATCAGCCAGGCATGGTGGCAGGTGCCTGTAATCCCAGCTACTTGGGAGACTGAGGCAGGAAAATCACTTGAACCTGGGAGGTGGAGGTTACAGTGAGCTGAGATCACGCCATTGCACTCCAACCTAGCAGACAAGAGCAAGACTGAATCTTAAAAAAAGAAAAAAGTAAAGAAAGAGACATTCAATGTCAGTTGTAAAAAGCATTAAGATAATGGTCAAAGACAAAAACACCTTTCTTTTTTTTGAGATGGAGTTTTGCTCTTGCTGCCCAGGCTGGAGTGCAGTGGTGCAGTCTCAGCTCACTGCAACCTCCATCTCGCGGATTCAAGCGATTCGCCTGCCTCAGCATCCCAGGTAGATGGGATTACAGGCGCCTGTCACCACGTCCAGCTAATTTTTGTATTTTTAGTAGAGATGGGGTTTTGCCATGTTGGACAGGCTGGTCTCGAACTCCTGAACTCAGGTGATCCACCCACCCTGGCCGCCCAAAGTGCTGGGATTACAAGCATAAGCAACTGTGCCCAGCCCAGAAACACCTTTCCTAGACAATTAAACTTTCACAGTCACTTGCTATAAAGAGCAGAACCAAATTTTCATTTGGTACAATAATCAGAGAAGAGTACGTTTTTCTGGCTCCCTAAATTGCTCAGAACCACATGTTCAGTGTCTTAGATGCTTTCTATAGATTTTCAAAGATAAGCCTATTTAACAATCAACAGAAAGACAGTAGGAAGAGTATAGGATTTGGTGGAAGGAGATAGAAGTGTGTTTCTCTATCGTCGATAATCACTTCACCATAAGCAAGTCACTTTGTCTCGCTGTACTTTATTTCTTCATCTACAAAATGAAAGACATAATACCTGCTTACTACCTCTAAGGGCTATTGTGAAGTTCAGAAGAGATCACATCTGTGAAGTACTTCAGGTTACTGGTTCCCGAATTTTAGTGGCTAAATCTAAGAAATGTAAGAAATTCTTGAATCCAAATCACCTCATAAATTCAGATTCAAAAGGCCTCAACACAAATGCATATATTTTCATTTTCAATTAAGCACTTCAGGTCATTCCAATATATGACTGGAATGTATGATTGGAATGACCTGAAGTGCCTAATTGAATATGGGCTCCCAATGATGATCATACTTTGAAAAAACTGCAACAGTTTCTTCTAAAACTTTAGTGTTTGGGCTGGGAGCAATGGCTCATACTGGTAATCTCAGCTCTTTAAGAGGCCAAAGCAGAAAGATCACTTTGAGGACAGGAGTTGAAGACCAGCTTGGGTAACATGGCAATACCCTGTTTCTACAGAGAAAAAAAAATACACACAAAAAAATTAGCAGGGCACGGTGGTATGCACCTGTTGTAGTCCTAGCTACTCAGGAAGCAGGAGGCATGGAGTTTGAGGCCACAGGCTATGGTAAGCTACAATCACACCAATGCACTACAGCCTGGGCAACCAAGTAAGACCCTGTCGCTAAAAAATTAATTACTTAATTAAAATAAATAAAATTTTAGTGTTCATAAGCATTAAATCTAGGTACATTCTAGCTGGGCGCAGTCACACACACCTATAGTCCCAGCTACTTGGGAGGCTAAGGGAGGAGAACTACTTGAGTCCAGGAGTTCTAAGTTGTAGTACCTTATGTCAATCAGGTGTCTGCATTAAGTTCAGCATCAATATGGTGACCTCCGGGGAGCAGGGGACGACTAGGTTGCCTAAGGAAGGGAGAACCGGCCCAGGTTGGAAACAGAACAGGTCCAAACTTCCATGCTAATCAGTAGCGGGACTGCACCTATGAATAGCCACTGCACTCCAATCTGGGCAAAATAGTGAGACTCTGTCTCTTAAAAAAAATAATAAGAAAATGAAACATACTACAGGTTTCTAAACCTAATCCTTAAAAATTCAGATACAGGCCTGGCACAGTGGCTCACACCTAGAATCCCAGCACTGGGAGGCTGAGGCGGGTGAATTACCTGAGGTCAGGAATTCGAGACCAGCATGGCCAACATGATGAAACATTGTCTCTACTAAAAATACAAAAATAGCCAGGTGTGGTGGCACATGCCTGTAATCTCAGCTACTTGGGAGGTTGAGGCAGAAAAAAAATCGCTTGAACCTGGGAGGTGGCGGTTGCAGTGAGCCAAGATCATGCGACTGTACTCTATCTAGCCTGAGAGAGAGAGCGAGACTCTGTCTCAAAAAAAGAAAAAAAAATCAGATTAAATAAACTTGGATTGGAGCACACAATCTTCACTTACCATTATTCAGGAGATTCAGATGTAAATGATTTATAATACACCCTTTTAGAAATCCTACACTAGCTTCTTCCTCCTAAATATTTCTCAAATTGTTCCCACTTCTGTAGTATCATCACCCATGAACAACCTTAGGCCTTCATTCTGTCTCATTTGAACTAACTCAAATGCCTTCTAATTAGTCTCTCTACATTAAGTCTTTTTTGTTTGTTTGAGACAGGATCTCACTCTGTTGCCCAGGCTGGAATGTAGTGGCTTGATCACTGCAGGCTTCGACCTCCGAGACTCAAATGATCTTCCCACCTCAGCCTCCGAAGTAGCTGAGGCTACAGGTTTATGCCACTACGCCCAGCTAATTTTTGTATTTTCTTGTAGAGACACGATTTCACCATGTAGCCCAGGCTAGTCCTGAACTCCTAGGCTCAAGTGATCCTCCCACCTCAGCCTCTCAAAATGCTGGGATTACAGGCATGAGTCACTGCACTCAGCTCTGCTTTAGTTAAATCTTATTCTTTAAAAATGCATGATCTACAGAATATGTCACTTTCCTATCTAAAACTCTTCCAAGAGACTTATACTTCTTGCCAAGATAGAATAACAGGCATGAAACTTATGCTCCCACCTGAAACAACTAAAAATCTGGACCAAAAAATGTATGAAAATTATTTTCAGACATAAGAAACCAGACCACAGAGGACAGTGATCAATGAAAGAGAAAAAATATGAGCTAAAGCCTACAATTGTCCCCAGTTTACTGACTGGAGAATTTCTAAGCTGCAGAGAAAGGAAGGTGATCTCAAGCAAGCTCAGTGGTTTTCTGGAGTTAAGAGAGTGAAGTAAGGAGTTTGGGGGAGGCCAAGGCAGCTACCCCCAGAACATAGTACCAGAGAGGAGAGAGCTGCAGAGAGTAAAAACAAGACCTCAGATAATCTGCAGGGGACCTCCTTAAATCTTGCGCTGAGTACTGATGAGTAAAACAGGGAAAAATACCCACAGGCAAGGGTATGCCAGAAAACATGTAATAACTAAGGGTAGGTGGTATGAAGTTCTTAGTTTATAAGGTTACTAATGTCTGTGGTGTATCTACTTCCACCACAGACAATTTCAAGCTACCAACATACCAGTGAATGAGAATCTAAAAAAAATACATGGCAACACATTACACATTGCATAGTGTTTCTACCATAAGAACACACTGAGGCTGGGCACAGCAACTCACATCTGCAATCCCAGCACTTTGGGAGGCCAAGGCAGGCAGATCACTTGAGGCCAGAGTTCAAGACCAGCCTAGCTAACACGGCGAAAACCCATCTCTACTAAAAATATAAAAATTAACCAGGCATAGTGGTACACACCTGTAGTCCCGGCTAGTCAAGAGGCTGAGGCATGAGAATCGCTCGCACCCAGGAGGTGGAAGTTTCAGTGAGCTATTATCACGCCACTGCACTCCAGCCTGGCCAACAGAAGGAGACTCTGTCTCAGGAAGAACAAACAAACAAAAAAAGACACAATAGATATAAATTACCATGAGTGCACAAAAATAGTAATATAATACAATTATATGAGGTAATGAGTTTTGGGCATTTACTACCTTTGTCTGTAATAAGTGATTTAATTATAAGTTTATATAATTTATATTAAGAATTAAACTATCTCACAAACTTCCCAATATTTTAATAATCAGCTCTCATAAGCCAGCTTGAGCATACTACCACATGTGGCTCACATATAGGAATAATTGGTTCGCCTACTAGCCAGAGTAGAAAATTTCATAATTCATGGGACATGAAGTATAATGCTCTGTACAGCACTGCATCAATAGTGATGCAAAATGAGCTCTGGACTAAAGACAGTTCTGGTCTCACCTAAAAAGATAAAAAGCAAGCCTCAAAAGGATAAAGCCATTTCCAATGAACTCTACTGTGTTCCAGAATATAGCACAAGAATATTTACAGGAAAAAAAAAAAAAACATCTGGCACCAAACAAGGTAAAATTGAGAATGCCTGGAATTACCAAACAGGCCAACTGTGGTGGTTCACACCTGTAATTCCAACACTTTGGGAGGCCAAAGTGGGCAGTTACTTGAGCCCAGGAGTTTGAGACCTGCCTGAGCAACATGGCAACACCCCATTTCTACAAAAATTAGCCAGGTGTGGTGGCTCATGCCTGTAGTCTCAGGTGCTTGGGAGGCCAAGGTAGGAGTTTTGCTTGAACCCAGGACCTTGAGGCTGCAATGAGCCACGGTCATGTCCCTGCACTCCAGCCTGGGTGACAGAGTAAGATTCTGTCTCAAAAAAAAAAAAAAAAAATCATATAAAGAAGCAGGAAAATACCACTTAAAATGAGAAAAAGCAATCAGCAGAAAAAGATCTGTACATGACAGTTACTAGACAAGAATATTAAATCAGTTATTATAACTGTAGTTCACATGCTCAAAAAGGCAGACAGATATATTAACCATGCTAAGTAGAGGTATGGAAGGCTTTTAACCCAAATTGATTCTTCAAGTTAGAAAAATATGATGTTTGGGATAAAAAATATGCTGGGATTAGACACTGGAAAGAAAAGGTCAATCAATCTGATGCCACAGCAATAGAAACCTAACAGAGAGAAACAAGAGCGGAAAAAAAAAAAACCATGAATGAGATGCAGAATACCATCAAGACGCCGAAAACATGGGTAACTGAAGTCCCCAAAAGACTGAAAGAGAGGCAGAAAAAATTTTGGAAGAAATGGCCCCAAATTTTCTAAATATAACGGAAATGACAAATTCATTGATGGAAAAAGTTTAATGGCTGGGCATGGTGGCTGACACCTGTAATCCCAGCACTTTGTGAGGCCAAGGTGGGTGAATCATTTGAGGTCAGGAGTTAGAGACCAGCCTGGCCAACATAGTGAAATCTCCATCTACTAAAAATACAAACATTAGCTGGGCATGGTGGTGTATGCCTGTGGTCCCAACTACTTGGGAGGCTGAGGCACAAGAATAACATGAACACAGGAGGCAGAGGCTGTAGAGAGCCAAGATCACACCACTTCACTCCAGCCTGGGCAACAGAGTGAGACTCCATCTCTAACATAACCAAACTGCTTAAAAATCAATAATAAGAATATCTTAAAAGCAGAGAAAAACAACACATTATAGGCACAGAGAGAAAAGTAAGAATGACAGCAGATTTCTCAGTAGAAACACAAGCCAGAAGACAGTAAGGTATATCTTTGCAGTACTGAAAAAAAGTTGTCAACCAAAAATTCTATACTCAAAAACAATGTGTTTCAAAAAATAAGGTAACATAAAAATTATTTCAAACTTAAAGTAGTAAAAGAACCTATCACAGACAGATATGCATTATAGGAAAGGTTAAAAGAAGTTATTTAGGCAGAAGGAAAAAAACACTAGATGGAAATTTAAATGTATCCAAAGGAATATAAAGCAATGGAAGTGGCAAATATGACCAATATGAAGATAACTATTAAAAAAAAACTTCTTCCAGACCGGCACAGTGGCTCACATCTGTAATCCCAGCACTTTGGGAAGCTAAGGCAGGCAGATCACCTGAGGTCAGGAGTTCAAGGCCAGCCTGACCAACATGGAGAAATCCCATCTCTACTAAACATACAAAATTAGCTGGGCATGGCGGTGCACACCTATAATCTCAGTGGCTAGGGAGGCTGAGGCAGGAGAATCGCTTGAACCCAGGAGGCAGAGGTTGCAGTGAGCCAAGATCACACCACTGCACTCCAGCCTAGGCAACAAGAACGAAACTCCATCTCAAAAAAAATAAAAATAAAAAAACTTTTCCCTTAGTTTTTAAACATATTTTAAAAATAACTGGCTAGCAAAAAAGATACCAATACACTGTATGGTTTATAACATAAATGGGAATAAAATGTAATAGCACAAATGTGGGATAGGGGACATACAATGTAAGATTCTTATGCTACATGTAAAGTGGTATAACAGCACTTCAAAGTACGCTATGATAAATTAGATGTATACTATAAATCTTAAAATCACCACTAAAAAGCAGATGAACAGAGAAAAAGTAATAGTCAATAAGCTCACAAAAGAAACAAAATAAGTACATGTTTAAAACACTCCATGCAAAGGACAGCAGAATAAGAGAAGAAAGGGAACAAAGGGCACATAGAAGAAATAGCCTATAGCAAGGTGATAGATTTAAACTTAACTTTATCAAAAATCACTTTAGGACAGCCATTTCAACTATAAATAGTCTAAAAACAGTTTCAAGCAGTTTAGTAATTTGGAAACAATTACTTGGAAAGAATAACAATAAATGAACATTAAAATATTCAAGTCATATAAATTGTGACCACAATGAAATTAAATCAGAAATCAGTAATAAAAAACATATCTCAAAAATCATCAAATACCTGGAAATAAATAACATGCTTCTAAATGACTCATTAAATCAAAGAAGAAATCAAAGGGAATTAATGCAGCATATCAAAATCTCTGGGGAGCAGTAAAAGCAGTATTTACAGAGAAATCTAAAGCAATAAACATGTATAAGAAAAAAAGGTCTCAATGATGTCAGCTGCTACCTTAAGAATCTAGAAAAAGAGGATACTATAATCCACAGAAAAAGAAGAAAAAATAATAATGAGCAAAAATCAGTGAAACAGAAAACTAAAAAGCAATAGAGAAAAATCAATGACCCAAAAGGTAATTTCTTAAGAAAAATCAATAAAATTGATAATCTCTAACTCACCAGAAACAAAATGCAAATTATCAATATTAAGAAAAACGAGATGTTACTATAGATTTTACACATATTTTAAAAGATGGTTCTATATTTTCCCAACAAAGTTACCAAAACAATTCAATGAGGAAATAATAATCTTTCCAACAAATGCTGGTAGGACAACTGGCTATCCACGTACAAAAGACATTGGACCCTTATGCCATACACAAAAATTAACTCAGGATGAATCAA